AACTGGTTGGGGAATTGGGTGGGAAGGGATAGAGGGGAAAGTTCATCAAAGAATATTAGGAAAAAAAAACAAAACACCAGGAATTCAACATTTATTTATTTTTTGGGATGGAGAGAGACAGAGCATAAACGGGGGAGGGGCAGAGAGAGAGGGAGACACAGAATCGGAAACAGGCTCCGGGCTCTGAGCCATCAGCCCAGAGCCCGACGCGGGGCTCGAACTCACGGACCGCGAGATCGTGACCTGGCTGAAGTCGGACGCTTAACCGACTGCGCCACTCAGGCGCCCCAAAACACCAGGAATTCAAAAACAACCACTATATTATGTCTCACGGGGAATACCATAGGGAAAGGCTGGTCTCTAGCCTCAAGGAGGTAGGGATATAGATGGGGAGAAATTAAACATGCATCAGAAAATCTTACTATAGCATATTCAATCAAAATATATAGTCTAGGGATGGGAAAAGTGGACTAAAATATTTGGGTAAGAGCTGGGACCTAAACCAAGGTTCTGAATATAAATTTAACCCAGATCAAAAAAGGGAAGCCAATCAAGTAAAGAAGAGTAAAAGGTAAGCCTTAAGTAGTCAAGGAGGCTTTGTCTTTAAAAAGTATTTATGGGGCACCTGGGTGGCGCAGTCGGTTAAGCGTCCGACTTCAACCAGGTCCCGATCTCTCGGTCCGTGAGTTCGAGCCCCGCGTCAGGCTCTGGGCTGATGGCTCAGATCCTGGAGCCGGTTTCCGATTCTGTGTCTCCCTCTCTCTCTGCCCCTCCCCCGTTCATGTTCTGTCTCTCTCTGTCCCAAAAATAAATAAACGTTGAAAAAAAAATTTTTTTTTAAATAAAAAATAAAAAGTATTTATGGGAGCGCCTGGGTGGCTCAGTCGGTTAAGCGTCCGACTTCGACTCAGGTCTGATCTGCTTGTGAGTCGAACCCCTTGCGTTGGGCTCTGGGCTGATAATTAGACACCAGACTCACCCCATTCTGTGTCTACCTCTCTCTGCCTCCCAGGTCCATGTTCTTGTCTCTCGTCTCAAAAAAATAAATAGCGTTAAAAAAAGTAAAAAAAAAAAAAGTATTTCTGGGGGTGACTGGGCAGTTCAGTCAGTTGGACGTCTGACTTCGGCTCAGGTCATGATCTGCATGATTCCTTTGAGAGTGCGAGCCCCTGTAGATTGAGCTCTTGTGTGGCAGCTCAGAGCCTGGAACCAGCTTCAAATTCTGCATCTCCCTCTCTCTCTGGCCCTCCTCTGCTAGTCTCTTTCTCTCTCTCTCTCAGAAATAAACATTTAAAAAAATTTAAATAAAAAAAAATAAAGTATTTCTTCCTTCTGTCCATCTCTGAATTGATTGAAGGAAGCAGGGGAAGGGCTTGTATCTGAACCTCAGTTTCCAAAGAGGTGTGTGCATATATGTATTTACATGTGTGTCACGTATGTCGGCATCAGAACACGAAGATTTGATTTGAGCATTTACAATCTGGCTCTAAGCTATTCCACTGGAATAACACACAATGTCAGATGCATACAAAGATCTACTCTTGGGGGCGCCTGGGTGGTTCAGTCAGTTAAGCGTCTGACTTCAGCTGAGGACACGATCTCACGGTTCCGTGAGTTCAAGCTGTGCACGGGGCTCTCTGCTATCAGCTCGGAGCCCGCCTCAGATCCTCTGTCTCCTTCTCTGCCCCTCTCCTGTTCACACTCTCTCTTTCTCTGCCCCTCCTCCACTTGTTCTGTCTCCCTCTGTCTCTCAAAATAAATCAACTTAAAAAAATCTACTCTGGCAGATATCTGATTCTTGGGGAGAAACCCATAAAAATGAAAGCTGTAAAAGATATATAAGAAAAGCCAATCAATGCTGTAAGATTATAAAAGACGTTTTCCGATTGTCATCAGAGGTCAATGCCTCACCACTTATAATTCTATTTTTAATAACAAGAGCACCAGCTAACACTCAAACAGCATCTGCTATGTTACAAGCTTCATATAATTCACTCATTAATCTTCAAAATGAGTTTTGTTGTAGATACTCCTATTCCTCCCATGTTATAGAAGAGGTAACCAAGATTCAGAGAAATGAATATCAATCTTTCCTCCAGTTTTTCAACCTTCACCTGTAAGAATTTAAGTAGAGCTTAAAAAAAGACATGTAGGATTTCTCTGAGTACAGACTGAAATCTAGTATTTTTTTAAGTTCAGAAAAATTACTTCTATCCTTCATTGACCCAGGTGAAATGATGCGTGATAGTATGTTGGCACAGAGCCATAAACATAAATGTAAAATCAATCCATGAGGCTAAGAGGTAGAGTTGCAAATAGAAACATGCTCTAAAAATGCCATGTTTATCAATAGACCAAAGAACAATCTCTGAATATTTCCCACCGGATTGAAGAATGCATCTTTTTCACAATACTTACACAGAGATAAATGACGGTATCATTTACAGTGATAAAGGTAGCCAGTGGTAAAAAGCATTTGAAATAACTTTTGTCCCTACTGAGCAGTAGAAAAATATTACTCCCCAGGTAGAGCTTTTTCTTCCAAACTCTGAAAGCACTTTATAGGTAGCTATCCCCAGCATTTGTATATCATATTACAATATAATTATTTGTTCATGTAGCAGTCTTCCCTCCAGACTTCTAGTCCTGGAGGATAGGGTGTGAATTTATTCATCCTGGGATTTAAAACCCATCTCTGCATCTAGTAGAATAAAGGTTTATTGGGTGAATAAATGAATGAATGATTCAAGAGGTGATTTTTGATAAACTCTCAGGCACTACACAGGATTATAGAAAAGTTTAAAATATCAATTAAGTCATAAGGGTGTTTGTGATTTTAAAAATAGATTCCAGCCTCCCATGCCTGGCATTTAAGGCCTTTCTACATGAGCCCTAATCTACTTTCTTAACCTTATCTCATCTACTCTCTTCCTAGTTATATCCTGGGCATAAATTACTTTGTCTCTCTTTTTTTAGCGTTTATTTATTTTTGAGAGACAGAGATAGAGAGCGAGCAGGGGAGGTACAGAGAGAGAAGGAGACAGAATTCCAAGCAGGCTGTGGGCTGCCAGCACAGAGCCCGATGTGGGACTCGAACTCATGAACAACAAGATCATGACCTAAGCTGGAACCAAGAGTTGGACACTTAACCAACTGAGCCACCCAGGCGCCCCAAGAATTACTTTCTCTTTCTGACACGAGCTCTGTGTTTTCTCATCTCTACACTTTAACTCAGTAATCTCCAAAAGTTTTAGATTATTTAGCCCTAGTATAAAATACCCCAGCATACTTATTTAATACTGTGCTGATATATTATGTTTATAATAAAACAATTATAAAAACACATGAAAATAGACATTTTAAGCAAATAAGGAAAGATATATAAATAGAAGTCTTAATTTTTTCATCCTGGACACAACAGATTGTTTTAGATGTACTTCACTTTGAAAGTCACTGATTTATATAAAAAGAACTAATCTCATAGAGGTTTTTTGAGAATTAAGTGAATCAGTACATGTAATACACTTAGAACAATACTGGTCATGAAGGCCCAATGTAAATGTTATCTCTTCAAAGAATTATTTGAATGCACTTCTTATGAGGTTAGGATTTCTCACTGTAGAAGGCACTAACCCTACAGAGTTTGGCAAAGAGCTGAGCCTAAGAAGCCAAAATAAAGTAGAAACGTTGGAAAGATTGGGTTTATGGAAAATGATGCAAAGGAAAAAAGAGGTAATTATTAACCTCAAGAAAAATAAAGTACACAAAAAGCAAATATAATCATACTACACTATCTTGCTCTATAGTACATATTTCCATAGGCCTAATCAGACAAACACGGACGGCAAATTTAACAAAAAAAAACTGTGATATAACTATACGGAAAAGACGGAGTGTTAACACAGCCCCTGAAATCCTCAGTTTTTATTAGCGAAAGTCTAAAGTTCAGGCATGTTACTTTAAAACTTGCAGATATCTATCAGAAGAAACAGCTAAAATATTTCAGTGATTATCTCTGAGGAATGTGATTGGAAAGGTAGAACACTTTAGTACTATTTAATTTTTAAATTTTGTGCATGTTTTATATCGATCACAGATCTTGAAAATGAAGTCAATTTTCTTAAATTTTAAAATAACCTCCCACAGAAAGATGGCAAGTTGAGTACATATGTTCAACTCTACCCTCTCCAGATACCTCAGTGACACAACAGAGAAAAGATGCAGAAAGGCACAGAGATATTCCAGAAAGAAGAGAGAAAAAGATAAAGAAATAGAGAATAAGAAAAGATCAGAAATTTAATGCAAGCATTGTAGGAATCAAATCATAAGACTCCGGGAAAAGAGAATGGAGAAAATGATGAAAAAAAAAATCAAGTAAATAATTCATAAATTTTTCCTAGAACTGAAGAACATGAAGTTTTAGACTGAAAGGATCAAATAACATCCAACAAAACGGACAAAGGACTTCCAAACCAGGGCACATCAACGTGAAATTGAAAAGCAATAGGGAAAAAGAGAAGATCTTGCAAGCTTCTAGGGAGATGAAAAGAAGTTATGTATAATGAGATCAGCAGTGAGAAAAGCACCTGTTGTTCTTCTCATGGTAACAGAAGTTAAAAGGCACTGAAGCAAAGCCTTCCAAATTCTAAAAGAAATAATTTTATAGTCACTCAACCTATTCATGTAAAAGCATATTACAAATCGCAAAGGTTCTTAGGCACTCTCAGGCATCTATCAGAAGATGTGTTCATACAACATTAGAGAATCTAAAAAAAAGGGAAAGCCGTGGAATTCAGGAAACAGGAAATCCGAAGGTTCTATTTATCAAGTCATATTAAAAGGGATCATGAGCTTACTGGTTTTAGGAAGATGAAATCCATATGAAGGCTTTCAGTTGCTTTTTGGAATGTTAACATATTTCATGTGCTTTTAGATTTGCATAGCTATGCTTTTACAGCATTCTGAGCATAAAAGAGATTACAAGAGGTTTCAACTCTTACCTGTAGCACAGCAGCAAATAAGTACACTACTATGAAGATGACAGTTAAGGACGTGTGACCACTTTTCATCAAATGAATAGTGTAGAGGAAAATTAAATGTCCGGGAATCACTAAAAGCAGTAAAACTTGAGCAGACTTATTATTCACTCCTATAATAGAAAATATAAAAGTTAAAACAAAGTCATATTTTGGTTAATAACAGGTCAGTTATTAACATTTAAGGACTACTTTCTACTTACTATACTGAATAGCACTGCATAAAATTCTGTTGCTGGGGCACCTGGTTGGCTCAGCCAGTTAAGTGCCCAGCTCTCGATTTTGGCTCAGGTCATGATCTCATAGTGGGTCATGAGATCAAGCCCCACATCGGTATCTCCTTACCCTCCCAACCCTCCCTCCCCCACTGGGCATGGAGCCTCTTTGAGATTCTCTTTCTCCCTGTCCCACTGCCCCTTCCCTGCCTATAAGCACCCATATGCACATGCAGGCATGCTCTTTCTCAAAATATAACAAAAAAATCTACTCCTGAAATCATTGTTTCACTATATGCTAACTAATTTGGATGTAAATTTTAAATAAAAAAAAATAATAAAAAATATATATATAAAATAAAAAATTCTGTTGCTAGCAAAACATTTCAACTTTTCACAATTCACTTAATTCTTTGAAATTCTTACTGTATGTTATAGGCTAATTAAATGACAGGAAATTGATAAAAGCTTGCTATGAAGAACACTGGCCAGACTTTAATGTCTATCATACTAATAGAGGGAAGACAAAAGAAAACACATAAAGTTCCTAAAGCATAGGAATGTTCTGGTTTTTTGGTTGTTTTTAAACGTTTATTCATTTTGAGAGAGAGTGAGCCAGCAAGCAGGGGAGGTACAGAAAGAGGGAGAGAGGGACAGAGGGAGAGAGGGAGAGAGAGAGAGAGAGAGAGAGAGAGAGAGAGAGACAGAAACAGAGAGAGACAGAGACAGAGACAGAGACGGAGAGACTCCCAAGCAGGCTCTGCACTTAAACCACAGAGCGCGAAGCAGGGCTCAAACCCACAACCGTGAGGTCATGATCTGGGCCGAAAGCAAGAGTCAGATGCTTCACTGACGACAGCCACTCAGGGGCCCCAGGAATGTTTTAATTTTACTTTTCCTTTAGAGTTCTTTCACTGCTATTTTACTGAGCATTTCTCATCCCCGTTCAAAAGTCAAGAATGACCTTTATTTTGATCAAAAAAGAAGTGACAGGAATTGTGAGATTTAATATAGTGGTCTTAGTTTTTTGGTACTCACTGCCCGGGTGACATAAACAGGACACTGTTCCTTGTGACAGAAGTTATCCCTCTCCTTCTCTTTGGGATCAAATGCTTACATTTAGAAAAGCCAAAAGGATTAATACAGTAAAGACAGTACATCCGTCTCTCTAGATCACCTAGATCTAGATAAGGTTCCTCTTTCTTGACTCATGAACAAGGTATCCCAGAGAAAAGAATGAAAGACAAAAAGTATACAAAGTTCCTCAGCAGCTGCAGACTTGACACAAATAACTTTTTGTTCACTGAGATTTAATGAACACAATCTATTCTACTTCCAATCTATTCAGGTCTCAGAAAAAAAAAAAAAGTCATGCAAAACTCTGACAAAATAGGTATTCAGCAACTGTTGCCTGCCTATGTGCTCAGAGCAGAATTATTCCTGATATAAGATGCAAAACTCCAAAGCACATACCTGGACCAAAAAAAGTTCTAAATGGGTAGTAACAACCTTTGGGTTCCTCAGGCAATTCTCCAGGAATGCTATGTAAGTGGAGGTAGGTAGAAATCCTGCTAGCCTGAATGGCCACCAAATTACCACCAATACCTGAAACATAAGGAAAAACAAAGCAGTTATCTTTCTATTTTAAGCAACTTGCATAAATTCAACCAACGGCAGGCCTTCTTTGTGTTATGTGCTGGGCAATAAAACAAGCAAAAAGAATTTCTTCTGAAATGTTGACTTATTTAATGTTGAAGTAGATATTCCAAAGGCGTAAAGTCATTATTAGGAAAGACTCTTGCATTACTTTTTCAAATCTGACTCACCGACTGAAAGCAGACCAGACTAAATAATTGTTTTAAATTACTACCACGGCCAAGGTATAAAGCTAGGTAGCAAGGTATTTAATGCTTACCTCCTTAATGAAAGGAAAAATAAGCTTGATTTTTTTTTTTTTTTTCAAACAGACAAGGCTTGGTACTTTTCTGCTCAGGTTCCTAAAGAAATTGGTGGAGGAGACTGAAAAAAATACTCCAGAAAGTAATCTTGTAACCCAGATTATTCTCTCAAATACTTTACAGACATGCCCTACAGGAAACATTAAAGGGATTTCTCTCGGCAAAAGGAACATAAATCCAGATGGAAATCTGGAACTACACAAAGGAAAGAAGGATGCTAGAAATGTAAAATATATCAGAAAATAGAAAAGATATTTTCTCATTTTTAATCTCTTCAAAAAACATCTGACCACTTAAAGCAAAAATAATAACAATGTACATACAAGGTTTATAACAAAGTAGAATGTATGACAAAAAGAACACATAAGAAAGAAGAGTGAAAATCCAAGTATACTGATGCAAAGTTCTTATCCTTTATGTAAATGGACTAAATTATTATTTGACAGTGCTCTGTGATAAAGATATACATTATAATACCTAGAGCAGTAGTTTGCAAAATATGGTCTGGGGTCTGAAGGAAGGTTAATTCTAGAAATTCTAACTCCTTGCTAGCACAAGTCCCAGAGGGAAAGATTCACAGTACACATTAGCATGATAAAGATCTTTAAGAAATCCTGTAGTGTAGAAATCTATTTGACCTAATGCTTCCCAAACTGAATGGACAACAAAAACTCACTTTTCAAGTTATACTTATTAATATCTCATAGAACTAGTATTCTTGTGATATATATACACACACACACATACACACATACTCTAAAGTTTATTCATTTATTTTGAGAGACAGAGAGAAAGCACGAGTCAGGGAGGTGCAGAGAGGGAGAGAGAGAGAATCCCAAGCAGGCTCAACATGGTCAGCATGGAGCCCAATGCAGAGCTCGAACCCACGAACTGTGAGATCATGACCTGAGCTGAAGTCGGACGCTTAACCGACTGAGCCACCCAGGCGCCCCTGAAATATATTTTACAAAATGCTACTAAATGCTGGGAGATGTGTTAAAAGATGTCCTAAGCAAAATATCAACACTGATATGCCTTAAACAAAGTGTGTATTCTTGTATCTAATAAAACAGATAAATTAGCGATTATTTTGAGGGGGAAAATATCACAGGCTTTGGAATCGAGGAGATCTGGGTCTAAATGCTGAGTTACCACTTACTAGATATGAGATGCTGGACAAATTACTTTCTTATTGGGAGGATTAAATGATATGAAAGTGCATAAAAGACCTGCAAGTTACCCGGTACACAGTAGGTACTCACTAGTTAGTAAATGATGATGGTCATGATGATGGTCATGATACATAGGGGTCCTTTAAATAGCACATCCTCTAACACATTTAAAATGAAATTCAATTCTCAAAAGTTCCACTTTTTTGAGGACCATGGAATTAATCTTCTCTATCAATGTCTTTAAAGAGTGGAATTTAACATGAAGTGAGCTCCTTGTGATACGCAGCTAAGAGATTTACTTACTGGGATACAAAAAAAAAAGATTGTACTGCCACGTAATATGATGGCTTCCAAGAAGAGCACTTCAATGAAGCTCTAAAATTTCTTTTGTAAAGTGAAATAACAGAAATACTGATTAAAGTGAAATAACAGAAATACTGATTAAAACCTTACTCATGACGGTATTGTTGTAATTTACATTTTTCACTGAAATGTTGGACAATACAGCTCTAATGGCATTAGTGGGTAAAACTTATGCTAGTGACCTCATCAACTAATATTCACTGAATAGGATTGGAACAGGTGGAAGAAAAGCAGTAATCATTCCAAGCAGTGGAAATTAGATCTTTGTGGGGCCCCCAAATAGGAATCCGGTTAGAAAGATAAAGGAAAAAGTTGTACGCAGCCAAGAGCATATAGAGGGCCTTGAAAAGCGAAGCAGAAGAATTCAAACTTGATTTGACAGGTAGGAGGAAACCACTGATAAGTTCATCATCTTAAGTCTGATGTAATAAAAACAATGTTTAAGGATGACTAGTCTGTTAGTGACATTTAATTGGCACTGAATAGGGAGTGGGTCAGGAAAGCTACTTTGTTACTTCAATGATGGCTGAAGTGAGATATTAGCAGACTACAATGCTGAGACTGTTGTTGTATAAGTAAGTGAAGAAGTGAATTACGTTAATGGGTGAATAGACAAGGTTTGGTCATGTCTACTCAAAGAGGATGAAGGGCCAGGTTGATGGTGCCATGATTTTAAGGGTGGATGATGGGGAGGAGTGTGGCACTAGGAAAATCGGGAAGGGGATCTAGAGGAGAAATTTCTTTCTTTTTTGTTTTTTAATGTTTATTCATTTTTAAGAGACAGAGAGAGACAGAGCATGAGTGGGGAAGGGGCAGAGAGAGAGGGAGACACAGAATCTGAAACAGGCTCCAGGCTCTGAGCTGTCAGCACAGAGCCCGACTTGGGGCTCGAACTCACAAGCTGTGAGATCATGACCTGAGCCAAAGTCAGACGCTCAACCGACTGAGCCACCCAGGCACCCCAAGGGGAAATTTCTTTACAGACATTTTATAGCTACACAGAAATGTAAATGTTCAGTTGAAATTTTAGATATGAAGTTAGATTTTGGAGAACTTGCCTTCATAGAACATATTTTCTTACACATAAATATAAAAAGCAGTTTATATTAAATGTGTAGCATATCCTATGACAGGTTTTCTCTCAGGTAAAATTACTTTTTAAGTTATATTGGTGTAGGTTATACTAAAATCCAATTTAATGAGCCAGCCCAAAAGTCAGTATAACTGGATTAAAATTATTTTATTAAATGGAATACATACAAGAAACCCTGTGAACCTAAGTATTACAGTTCCCACTTTATAGGTAAGAAAAAAAAAAACATAAGGCAGATTTTAAAGGGATCCGCAGAGGAGTGATAGATGTTAATGGGCTGCATTGACTTAAGCAATGCTTACACCTAGCTAACTCTAATTTATCCATAAAAATTGACAGCGGCAGCAACAAAACAGGACAGAGCACATAACCCAAAGCCAGTGATAATCCAGAACTGAAATGTCATATTTTGCTACATTAACCTCAAAAATCAGGTATGCCTGATTCTCAAGCTAAGATCAAGTGGTAAGAGTAAAAAAAAACAGCTTTTTTCAAAAATGTGTTGTGCATACTGAGAACAGGGAACATCATTTCTACCCCAGATACCACCCTGGGCTTGGAGAGAGAATGGAAGGGAAGGGAAGATACACCTCTTAAAATCTGAACCCTACGATTCTCGTTAGTGCCTAGGAGTACGTAATGATTTGTTGCCATCGTGAAACAGTGTATCTCATTCTTACCATTAATAACCGGTGTGTAAACAACAATCCCCACCAAGTTTGGATCAGATACAGTTGTGTCCAGAATAAGGCCCCCAATGCTGGAAGAAAATCACACAGTTTAGGGAAGAGAAAAGAAAACACACTAATTTAAAGCTGCTCTTTACATACAAACACCTCTACTTTTAAAAGTAAACATTTCAGACATTTAAAAAACAATAAAAAGGAAAAATATTCAAAGTAAAAATCAATGTCAACAGTGAAATGTTGAAAATAAAACATGGCATGAGCAGTAGCCCTCTGTTTCCGTTCTCATTCTGATCTCCAAGATGTGTTCCTCGTAAAAAGGAAAAGAACATAGGGACACCTGGGTGGCTCAGTTGGTTAAGCGTCCGACTTCGGCTCAGGTCTAATCTCACTGTTGGTGAGTTTGAGCCCTGCATCTGGCTCTGTGCTGATAGAGCCTGGAGCCCTCTTCAGATTGTGTCTCCCCCGTTCTCTCTGTGACCTTCTCCTGCTCACACACTGTCTCTGTCTCTCTCTCAAAAATAAATAAAAACATGAAAAAATAAAAAACATAAATAAAAAGGAAAAGAATATGCTTTAAGTGCTTTAAAATGTCTGGAAGGATATATAAGAAATTATTAACAATGTCCATCTCTGGGTGGAGGGGCAGACAAAAGACTGATGATTATTTAATATCCTTCTGTATTTGTTAATTTTTTAAAACCATGTGTATTTATTGCTCTTATAATTTAAAAAATAGGGTTTTTTTTTTGTTTTTTGGTTTTGTTTTGTTTTGTTTTTTTTAAGTAAGCTCTAAACCAAACACAGGGCTTTAACTCATGACTCTGACCCCACGATCAAGAGTTGCATGCACTAGGGGCGCCTGGTGGCTCAGTCGGTTAGGCATCCAACTTTGGGTCAGGTCATGATCTGGCGGTTCGTGGGTTTGAGCCCTGCATCAGGCTCTGTGTTGATAGCTCAGAGCCTGGAGCCTGTTTCGGATTCTATATCTCCCTCTCTCTCTGTTCCTCCCCTGCTTGTGCTCTGTCTCTCTCTCTCTCTATCAAAAATAAATAAACATTAAAAAAAATAGGTTAAAAAAAAAAAGAGTTGCATGCTCTACCAACTGAGCCAGTCAGGTGCCCCTAAAATCTAGTTTTTAAAAGAATATTTCTTCATTTATGAAATTAACAAAGCATTAAATGGATCATTTTTATTGTGTTAAAACTATATATATATATACATATAAATAATCTTATCACTGGTAAATTGAAATAATGAGCTGTAGCATAGAAAGGGCTGATTTTCAGAATGGAAGTCTGGAAAAATAACATATAGCTACATAGAAGCAGGCCTTCAACTTCAATGTCTCAATGGAGCTCCGAGGGTTTTTTTAAGTTTCAAGACCATTACTAATTGGTTAACTTCAGTTTCTTGGTCTAAGCCCTATAAAACATTAATAGTCCCAATACTCCATGGGGTCGTACTGCCTAAATTTTCTAGGAAAATGCAATCTACATCACACAAAAATAAACTACATGTTATCAGAGAATGGAATTGATTGTCAAAATATCAGATCAAAATATTCTTACCACTACTTGACAGCTAACATTAGGAACTTATTAAATCTTTATTAATTTTTTAGTAAAATAAATGAATTGTGACTTAATATGCCTAAATTACTAGAATTTCCCATTAAAAGTTACACTATAGGGGAACCTGGGTGGCTCAATTGGTTAAGCGTCTGACTCTTGTTTTCAGCTCAGGTCACGATCTCACGGTTTCGTGGATTTGAGCCCCACATCAACACGTTGGGCTCTTTGCTGGAAGCACTGAGCCTGCTTGGGGTTCTCTTTCCCTCTCTCTCTGCCCCTCCCCCACTTGTGCTATCTCTGTCTCTCTCAAAATAAATAAATAAAGTAAAAAATTTTTTTAAAAATTAAAGTTACACTGTAAAGTCCAAAAATAGTCATCCTTAGCAGTATTTTCATATTTTAAGCTCTAATTTAAAATATACATATATATATTTCATAGAACTAGTTATGTATTAAAGAATAAATCTGTGCCAAAACACATAGGTTCATGCTGTGACTGTAACATGAATATTTGCTAAAACACATTTTAAAATGTTTTTATGACCCAGATAACAAAATATAGAAAAATTAGAAACTACAAACAAAAAGAAGAAAATAAAAATCAACTATCATGACATCATTCAGAGTTATACTGTTAGTATGTTGGTAGCTAGACTCCCAGACATTTTTAAACACTTAGATTTTTAAAAATGAAAACCCACATTGCAAAAGTAGTTCTCTCTTCACTGTTATCAAATTTTGATTTTATCCAATAAACACATGTACATTATTTAAAAAGTGACAGTGCCGCAAAGCCTATTACATAGCCCCTGGCCCCTGCCCCCAAAACCTGTTCTGCCCCAGTAAATTTTTTTTCAACTTCTGTAGCTGTTTCCTCTGGCATTTAATTCTGCGTTTCCAGATAGCATGTTTATACTGTGATTTCTTGATTTTAATTTTAGACACTTACCTAATGACCTCCACTATGACGGATGAGGATTTAGTCTCACTTGCCCTTCTCTCTCCACCTAAGACCATTCATAAACCCCTTCCTCCCCGTATCCTGCCAACTTGGTTCTGTAGTTCTGGGTGGAGTATTTAGGGTTTACCTTATTGTGACAATGGAATCATTATTCACAGCAGGACCACCAAGTGTCATTGGATTTCCCCACCGTTACTTGTTGCTCTGTCCCATATTTTTCCTAATTTTTAAGGTACTTACTACTAATTCAGCCTCAAATTTCTAACAAAGTTAATGAAGTGCCTCTGAATAAGTCAAAGTCACCTGGCAACCAATCAATTCTGCTTTTTTTTTTCTTAGAGACATTCCTCCTTGAGCCCACCGTCCTCCTGCCAACCTGGACGGTTGCCTCTAGGCCTGATACACAGCTGTCAACCTGAACTTCAATCTCCCACGCTGGATCTTTGAAAAAGTCCCAGCATTTCATAGGACCCTATTGCCTGAAGCTTCCAGGAAAAAAGCAATCTACATCAGAGAAAAATGAACCACAAGGTGTCATGGAATGGGTTTCCTCATGCCCATGTCATCTTCCTTGATTTATTTCCTCATTTTGATAGACTGTATCTTCTACCAGCGTTCATATGAAAGGGTACACAGGAAGCAAAGTTTTTGAGATCCTACATGACTGAAAATTGTTGGATGCCACTCTTCCATTTAGCTGATACTGCAACCATACTTTGTGTTCAAAATAATCTCCCTTCAGAACTTTCTTGAAGGAATCACTTCCGGTGTTGCTACTGGACATCATTCAGATTCCCAATGCTTTATATGTAACTTGTCTTTTCTCTCCAGGAGATTTTGGGATTTATAGTAAATTTATGATTTGGGGCCCTCCTCGTATTCACTGTGCTTGGTACTCAGTGGGCCATTTCAATCTGGAGGCCCGTGGTCTTCAGTCCTGGGGAATTTTCTTGCAATGCTTCTTCGAGAATCTCTTCTTATTGTTTACCTCCAGTTGCCCGCCTCTTTGTTTTCTGTTCTATTTTCCAGAACACTTCTTCAGCTCTGTCTCCTAACTTTTCTACTCAGTTTTTGGTTTGCTTATTTGTTTCTGCTCTTTATATATATTCTTCGTTCCCAAGAGCTCTTCCTGCTTTTCCAAATCCTCCTTATTAGAACGTTCTGTTCTTACATTGTGGATGCCATAGATTCTCTTCTTGCTTTAAGGGCCCTGATGAGAGTTTTTGAGGTCTTTCAACTATCCCTGCACTTTCTTGGAGTACCGTTTTTCTGGTCTCTGTCTTTCATGTTAGAAGCCTTGATCAAATGTCTGGTGATGCTTTTACTGCTCCTCTGTCAAGGGCATTGCAGAGCACACTCGTCAGCAGGTGAGCCTCCTGAAGAATGGTCAGGTAGCTCTTTCACTCAAGGACCCACAAGGGTCAGTAACCACCGAGTTTTTCTCTGGCTCTCTGGCGCTGATGAGTTACCCCAGGAGGGAATTAGTCTAATTTTTTTGCCTGGGGGTACAGGCTTGACTACCAGCATTCCACGAGCAAAGAAAAAGAAGTGGGATAGGGTTTTCACTGCTGGGCATCTAGATTTTCACTTAATCCTACTTTCCATACAGTGCTTAATCCACACCCTCACTTGGGCAGGTGTTTCTTAATCCACAGCTTCTCTGATTTAGTCTCTCCAGAGTTAATTCTTGTCTTTTGCCAAGGTGGGAGGGGGCAGTCACTTGGGTGGTCAAGCTGGAGAAGGGCTTTGAGGGTCTAATTGTTTCTCACATAAATTTTCAACCAATCTTCTCCATTTCAGCTTTGAGAAGTACTTAGTGCCTCCAATTTCTCCACGTTTCTGGGTTTCTGAGGCTTAGATCAGCTCGCTTCCTATGGGTGTCCCCTCACCCTGCTGGAGGTTAGGCTTTATCCTTTTCCATTCTGGTGGTTCAGCTAAAAGCCATCCATCTGATTCCTATTTTACTAATTTTGTTGAATCTCTCACCTGCTGTCCTCTCTGCTCCCCTGCTGCTTTTGTGGTTTTACAGCTTTTCTGTTCTATTACTGTCACTTTAGTAGTTTCAGGAAGGAAGACAGTAAATGCGTGTCAATATACCATGCTTAACAGGAAATTCATACCCTTTTCTAGCTGGCTCTTTTCACCAAAGGCATAATGAACATCTTTCCACGTTAACAGAAACGTTGCAGTGTTATTTTTAGCAGCGAATATTCCATTTCGTGACTATACCATAATTTATTTGATCACTACCTGGTTGCTGAGACCTCTACGGTGGTCTCTCTCTTCTTTTGTTATTAAAAGTTCCTCTGTGATGAGGACCCGTACAACTTAATCATTTGCAAATATCCTTAATTACATCCCTATGTTCTGCCAAAGTCCTAGAAGGAGAAGTAGTCAAATGGTACGTCCATTTCTAAGGCTGTCTGATACTTATGTGAGCAACTTACTATTAAAAATAAATAATGTCAGGCTAACACACACACACACACACACACACCACTAAACCTTACTCGTCAGTCTGGTAAGGATTTGATTGGAGAAAAGTTTGAAACTGGTAGCGAAATGAGGTATGTCTACTCATTCCAAGAACTCCTGTGACTAATAGCTCTATTACATGTGATAATAAAGATGTGAGTATATAAAATGACTGAACCAAGAAATGATGTTTTAATGTATACACAGATGCAGGCATATAGAACACACAGATAGATACACACACACACACACATTTTAATACTAACCTACTTATAACCATAGCTGTTATGACAGGCTCCCAGCCTGAGTGGAGAACTGTCCTCGTGGCTGGATGTTTGGCAGCTATTATAATCCAGATAGGAGTTAGAGCCAAGAAAAAGACACCAACTAATGGAGAAATGTAGTAATACCTCTCTAAAATTAAAAAAGAGACAACATTTCAATCTCTCTTCTAACCATGGAGCAAATGTAGATATTAAAAGTAGAAGTTTCCCAGAAGATAGGATGTTATCCAACATATTCACATGCTATATTTTCTATAAACTTGAAACAAATTTAAAACAGTAGATAAGGTAAAAATATTAAATAATGTAACCAAAAACTAATACATTAATTCAACAAACATTTATGGAATTAGCTATCTGTGCTAGATGAGAACTGCAATAATAATGATAATAATAATAATAATAATAATAATAAACAGTAAGAACAAGAGTAAAAAAGCTAACATTTATTTGGCTTCTATTATTTACCAAGTACTGTGCTAAACACTTTCAACTCAACACATCAACTCATGTGACAGTCCTCACAAATATGAGGTAGACACTGTCATTTCTATTTTATGAAGAAAACTGAAGCTTTGGACCTTAAGAACATGGCTAAGAGACAGCAAGAGTTGGGGGGAAATGGAATCTGACACCAAAGTTAGTACTCTTAACTCTCGAGTCAAATGGGATATTGTTTTGACCCACAAAGATCTTACAGTGCAAGCATTCCAAGGAGTATTGGCCAATCAATTGATAACAGATATCCCCATATTGAATAGTGTTCCAAGCTCCAAAATAAAATAGAAAAACTAAGTTTAATAAAGTTAAACACATTTTTTCACTGCTGCACTTCTCAGAACCCTTAATATTCTAAGACAGAATATAGTACAACATGTTAACCATAGGTTGGCCAGACCACCTAGTTTCACATCTAAGTGTGACAACTTACCTTGGACAAGAAACTTAATTTCTATAAACTTCAAATTCCTTATCTATAAAATGGCAACAATAATAGTACCTATTTCATGGGGTTATTGTGAGTCTTAAGAGAATTAGTACACGTAAGTACAATAGTGCCCAGGCACCTAGCTAATATTTATTGAACACTTGCTATTGTCATAATTATCATGGCCATTATCATTAACATCTTGCTATTTGGAACACACTGAGATACCAGATTGCCAGGACTTTGTTACAACCCCTTTGTGGTAAACTGTTTTACTTGATCACAACTATTCACTGTCTCTCCATTCTTGTTATATTTTCCTATAAAGTGAATATCCTTCTCTGTCTCATTGACTTTGAGCTTAGCTACTTGTCTTGCTTTGTGGACATGCTACATATCACCTCTGAACAAAATTTTAAGTGCTTTCAGAAATGAAAGAGGTAGATTGATAGATAGATATGGGTAAATATGAACTGTTTTCAGACACTAGACACTAGACAACAGGCATTGCAAAACTGTGATCCCTGAGAGAAGGGAAAGAAATGAGATAAGCCCGATAACAGCCTCAGCTCTTTGACTTAAGGCACATTCCAGACCACAGCTCAGGAAGGGAAAACTCAAGCAGAGTGATGATAGGGCAGCAGGAATTTATAGGACAAAATACTAGAGAAGAGGAAGCTCTCAGAGAAAGAGCTTGTGAACTGAATACTAAGTCAAGCATGCATAGGGTGAACTCCACGAGGCCAGGCCAAGAATAATTGGGGAGTCGTAAACTGAAAAATTCCCAGAGTTTACAAAGGGCTGGAAGTCATTCAAGAGCTAATCTTGTAGAGAAGAGAGGCCTCTTGGAATACTGAGAAGATTTAGTAAAGACCTGAGAAGGGTCACATCTTAGTAGTAGGGCCAGCCCTAGCGGAAAGTCTACTCAAGATTCACTCCAATAAAGCTTGAAACCATGCCTTGTAAGGCTCAAGCTAATCCACAATTAACTGCCTACAAGAATAAAATTAAACACTCTGTAAAGAAAACCAAAACAATTGAGCACTTAATGGTATTACATCACAATGTGTAGCACCCAACCAAAAATTATTTTTAAGTGTTTGGAATAATATTTAGTCACATTTACAAACTTAAATACTCTGAGATACTCTGTTGTACTTAGACATTTCTCATGTCTCTCAAAAGTTTCCAAGTACTTATGACAATCTTTATAAACCTAGCAAATTAAATGTACAGATACAGAAAGTCTTTAAGTTTTCATAAATTTTTATATAATGCATACAAATTTGGGAACATTTATATTTAAAATCACAAGAATAAGTCAATTACTTAATTACAAATTTAAGACAGAATTAGAAGACTGATGTGTTTCTCTAATGGGTTAAGTTACAAGTATATTAAAAAAATCCATGTTTTGCCTCTTCAGCATAAAACTGTTAATACCATGAGTCTGATTCTCAAATATTTTTATAGTCAATTCTAAATATCCCCAGGAATACAAGTTGCCTACCCCTTCTTAAAACAGTGACACCCCAAAACATTTTTGGTAATATCATTTTAGCTGACCAAGGTTTTACTATTATCGGACATTTCAGCCAGGACGTTCCTGGATTCTTCTCAATGATTCTAATACTTATTGTGTATAGTAGAGGCCTCACCTTATACCTTAAAGACAGCCTTGAACTCACAGTCCTTGTAGCTTATAGTCCTAGATTTCAGTTATATGTTACTAAATTTTTCTGGCATCTCACAAAATTCTTCAATCCTTATCCAGACTCTTATCTTTAATTGAACTTTGTATTTCCTCATCTTAAAATATTTAAAGATCTTCTTGCCTATGACTAAAGATGTTTGAACTAGATAGAAACTCAATTTTTTTTTTCCTAGCAGATAGGAACAAACAATTACTATAAATATTAGACTAATATCCAACCAAATTTTCTCATGGCTTTATCTAGATCACATCTTCAAAATAATTATGCTAACAAAATCCATTAAATATTTTCTCCCATTTACAGGGATATGACTAATGCTACACAGTGTCATCTTCTCCATGAATTTTTATAAAAGGTTGAAAAAAAAAAAACCCTTTACTGAACGGATTCCCAGTTCTCCTTGTTAAAACATTAACAATGTTAATGTTAAACATTAATGTTATGTTAAATAACATCCCAATTAGGAGGCATTCTTACCTCTTAAAACAACTAAGGTTGCCAACAATCTCTTTATAGGATCAAGCAGAAAACTAAAGGCAAAATCCACTAAACACAAATGAAAAGAACTATTCTGCTAGGTCAGACCATCTTAGTACTTCATTTTTAGGTCAAAAAAGGAGCACTATGCTCAGCTTTTAATTTCTTCTCAACATTAAATCTTTGGAAGGACATCTGCCGTTGAAAGAGGCACCTACCAACTCAACCCCAGGGTCATTGCTTGAACTTTCAAAGTGGGCGGAAACTTCTCAGTAAATAAACTAAAAATAATGAGTGGACAGTTCCTCAGAAAGTTAAACAGTTATCATATGACCCAGCAATTCCACTGCTAGGTAACTACCAAAAGAACTGAAGACATATGTTCACACAAAAACCTGTACAAGAATGTTCACTTTTCATAATAGCCAAAAAGTGGAAGGAACCCAAATGTCCATGGAATGGTAAATGGATAAACAAAATGTGGTATATTTACACATGGAATATTATTCAGTACTGATTCATGCTACAACACAAGCGAAGCATACTCATTGAAAGAAGCTGGATATAAAAGGTCATCCGTTTTGGGGAAACGTCCAGAACAGGCAAGCAAGCAAACCCATAAGTAGATAGATTACTGGTCACAGGGGCTGGGGAGTGACAGCTAACGGTTTCTTTATGAGGTGATGAAAATCTTCTGGAACAGAACATAGGTTCTATTAATAATAGGTTGTACAATCTTATGAATGTACTAAAAACCACTGAACTGCACACTTTTAAAAGGTGAATTAATTCAGTGTGGAATATAAATTGTATCTCAATTTTCAAAAATTCTAATAATGAAAAAAAAGGAGAGGCAACTACAGTCTTCAAAAATGTCAATGTCCTGGGGTGTCTAGGTAGCTCAGTCGGTTGAGCACTTGACTCTTGATTTCAGGCTAGGTCATGATCTCAGGGTCATGGGATCAAGCCCTGCATCACCACTGGGTGTGGATCAAGCCTGCTTGGGATTCTCTCTCCCTTTCACTCTGCTCCTCCTCAGCTTGCAAATGTATGTGCTATGTCTCAAAAAAAAAAAAAAAAAAAAGTCTCTGTCCTAAAGACAAAGAAAAAATATATACATACATATATATAAAAACATATAGAGAAATAGAGACAAAGAATAAAAAACAAAGTAAATGGGGTAAAATGTTAACATTAAGTGAATCTGAGTCCAGGGTATGCAAGATATTTAATACTATTTTAATTTTTGCAACTATTTTATAAGCTTAAAAAGTATCTCCAAGTACGAAGAAAATGTAAACATTAAAAAGGTGGGAAAGCCATGATAAAATAAAAATTACTAAAACTGATTTACTATAAATCATTACTATCTCAATTTCCTGAGAAACCTAACATGCCCATTCCCACCAAATTATGATTATATAGGACCTTCCTATCTTTTCCCTGGCTAACATCTAACCCAATCCTGCTGGCTAAATATAAGAAAAGAGAAGTCTCTAAAACACTTCTCTTTGTGGGATATATTGGTGTTTTAAAGATGTCATAAAATTAAGGAATTATTTTCAGAAAACCATGAGTGACACAATTGGTGAGAAAAAATGGTCAATTAAAAGCCAACTGTGAACTTCTGCATTAATACCAAAATCTAAAATAACGTCTTCCTTCTATAGGAAATACATTTAAATAATCCTAGTCAAAATGATATTTTGTATTAATTTCTGGGTAGATCACAATGAGTGTTTTAGTTGGCCGAAATCCACATCCTAAACCTAGAACCTATGGATATTACCTTATAGGGCAAAAGAGCTTTGCAGATGTGATTAAGTCAAGTGTTTTGAAATGCAGAAGTTACTCTGGATTATTAGGGTGAACCCAAAATGCCAGAAGATCAGAGACAAGCAAAGGAATTTCCCCCCAAAATCTCCAGAAGAAACCAGCCCTGCGGACACCTTGATTTTGGCCCTGTGCGAGTCATGTTAGACTGTTGGCCTCCAGAACTGTGAGAAAATT